GGGCATAAGCTTTCGTGGGTAAAAACCTCACTTCTACGAAAGCTTATGCCCAAATAAATCTGTTAGTCTTTAAGGTGCCACCACACTTTACAAAGAGCCTCAGAGTAATTAGCCTTTCTCTCCAAGTTGACATACTTACACTCTAATACCAGGAATAAGGAAAAGGACTGTGGCTACTAACCTCAAATCCGGAGCAGCTTAGGCACTTTCACCTCAGTATTTTGTTATGACAACTTTCTGTTTGGCTGTTAGTTAGTGGTGTTTTGAATAGAGCTGCTTTCACCTTGCCGGCTTTGCTACTTTTACAGTAATAAGGGAGGACTTTGAGTTTATGCAGCAAGGTGCTAATTGACATTAACACGTGAAACAGGAAATGCTGACACAATTTAAAATTAACTTCATGTCAATATAGTGCTGACCTGTGTTAAACTTGTGATTTGTCAAACCATCCGGAATTAAATTTTAATTCAGAAACGGCATAATGCTGGGAGCAAAGTCAGTCTTGAGAAGACTTAGATTTAATAGCTTGTGAAATAAAGTAGAGCTCACCCAATGAAAAATTATTTTTCCATTTTAGTTTACATTTTAGCAAAAAGGGAATGAATGTTGGGCAGCAAAGATAAATATGCATAGCTCAGGCTAAGAGAACTGAAAGTGATACAGTCATCTCGGGCTGAGTGACATGATCCTACTTCACTTATTGGTCAGTTTCCTTTAATGTCCTTTTAGTCAATGACAACAATTCCTGGACATGGGTTTATTTTAGAAGGTCGGAATGTAGGATAGGAAACATCATAATGGACCGAACCAGACTACTCTGGCAACTTGCCGATACTGGTAACCAGTAGCTATCAGATATTAAAAAAAATCAAAGTGGGAAAAGACCTATAGTAGCAGATCAGAGAGTCCTTCCCATTGCAGGTGGAGACTTTCATCCCCATAGAGAGGAATTTTAATGTAATATGTGGGTACTATTGTGTCACTACATCATCTGTCCACGTTAAGGATACACGAATAATTTAAAAATAAAATACAAGGCAGTTTTCTTTGCGTCAGCCATTTCTGAGTACACCATTAGGGGCAGTGGATGGCTTAAACATTCTACCTTTTCAATCTATTGGCAGCTTTGTCAGTGTGCCAGTGTTTGGGCGCTGTATGGGGATTCTAGAGAAGAGTGAAGCCTCTTCAGAGGGACAATCAATTCTCTGTCCTGCTGTTCGGTTTAGCTGCCAGTTTCTGTCCACCTCTGAACGTGCTGCTGTGTTTTTTCCCACTCTGGTGCTTTGGGGAAGTGTCTTGCCATGCTACTTGCTGACGTGTTTCGGATCAAATGTTTGTAGCTAACCAATTTTTGCTTAAAGACTATGGACCAGTCTGTATGCCTTCTGCTCTAGTAGCACAAAGAGGATTAACATCCCTGGGTGTAGATGAATCCTTGCCTCAGCCCCTCCTGTGTTTTAGGGCAGCTAGAGTGGTGCCCTGCTGTGTGAGGGACAGGTATTATCTAGCAGTGCAAGCTAAATAAACCCTGAGGTACTTGCACTGGGCCTGATCTGAACTCTACCCCCCTACCCCCACAATTTTAGCATTGGCTAGATGGGGGCAGACAAGTGGAATTAGGAGAACGCAGGACCCATTCTGACACTGTAATTACCTATTGCATTCTGCTGATCACAGTCAAAATATAAAGCGCATTCTATTATTCACAGTAAAATCTGAGCTTGCCGGTTGGTTTCTCCTAAGCATGGGCCCACAGCATGGTCCGATATGATCAAGTTTATTGCTCTTCAGATCTGCTTTCTGTGGCTGGCAGCTGACATAGGCATTATGCACGTGCTTTGCAATGGGGTTCTTATCATCCTTTGGATTCTAAACAAATTGGCTAAACAAATTAATGCCACACACCCTAAATTGGCTGAACAAATTAACACAACACGCCCTGTGCGCGAGGGTATATTTGAAGGCCAAGGATTGTGCATGTTATAGCGAGATTTATTTTATTAAGAAGGGTGTTTCAAACAAATGGTTTTTGGAGAGAAGAAGCAGAGCATTAGAGCTTCATGTCAGAGCAGGGCTTTCACCAAGAACTTTCTTAGACTCCAAAGCTTCATGCTGACATTTAATTAGTAAACTCTTAAAATGGATAATTTGTATGATCAAATGCTTCTCATTCGTTTCATAATAACACAAATAGTTTTTCTTGGCAGTTAGAACAAAACCATAAGCATGTTGAAATTGAGCACACGATGCTTTGTTTTGACATGGAAAGATGTGCCAGGTAGAGAGCAGTATGCCTTCTGCAGGCTTTGGTAGGCAATGGGGTTCACAAATCGAACCCTGCAGTTTTGTTCCCAGGGATCAGCAGTGAATCAACCTCAGCAGGGTCCACTTGGAGGCTGGAGTTCATTAACTTCGATTCCCCAAGCAGAAAATCCCCCTCTTCTAAAGGTCCCTGCCGCCAACAAGCTGCAGACCTCCCTGGAGAGAACTAAGAGGTCTGTGTGTTCCTGAGGCTTGTTGGATGATGGGAGTAGCTGGAAAGGAGGGATGCTGGCATTGGTGAGGCAGAAACATGAATCTTGTAATTGTGTGGACAGGCTGTACACGTGTCCCGCTAACTTCCAGTGGGATCAATGTGGATGCTTTGGGCAGCTCTGCTGCTAGGCACCCAAATATGTGCTCAAAGATGACAGGATCTATGCCGTCTTGTAGCTTCAGTGGGGCTCTCATCCTCAGCCACAAGCTGAGGCATTGGTACTACAATTGATTCAGTGCAACAGGAAATGCTGCTCCCTCAGCTTTCACCCTGCAACCAGTGCTACTCCTCATGCTACTCCTCACATCAGTTATCTCCCAACATGTCTCCCCTCTCTCCTGTTTCTTGGTAAGTCCTGTGTCCCCTCTCTCCCATCATGCACCTCAGTGCATTGTCTGTCTGGGATTTGTCCAGAGACTTTACATAAAGGAGGAAGCAAAAATGCCCACCAAAAATATACGTCTTCAGCTCACTCTGCATCTGGGACAATTACCATAGTATTGAAGCAGTGTTACAAGGCCACTCGAAGTGGTCATGGCTGGGTTAACTGAGTTGCCCAGAGTATTATGGAATGGAATCATGCTCAAGCCCTCCCCCTTATATCCTATCTTTATCAGCGGGAGTTTTCACCCCACCCTGATCTGATGCAGTTAAATAAAGCAGCATGTTCCCAGCCTGCAGTCCTGGGAGTGGACTTATTGTTGTTTCACTGAGTGGTCCCTTCGCAAAATCCACCTCTCCGGGTGGGAGTGTCTGTTTAAAGAAGGAGTGTCCCAACTGAATGTAAAATGATATTCCTGGAGATTCTTTGTAACGACATCCACTGGATCCACCCATTCCAGAATCCCAGTCTCTCTGGAAAACCCTGGCATCTTTCCCTCCTTCCGCTTTATCCCC